ATGCTGCTATTTTTAGCACACTAGCTCAAGCAGAGTTAGTGCACAGGTTCATCTGCCCCTGCTGGGAAGCATACTCCCAGGTGCAATGTAGACGTACCCTTAGTGCACAGCAGGTTACTGTTGAGTAGATTCACACTTCACATTGCTGCGAATTAAATGTTTGCATAGACAAGCCCTTAGTTTACTGTTGAATTGCTTCAAAAATTATCAAGTGACAATTTTCAATGATGTTGCTATATAGGTGGAAGAAACAAGGTTACAAATCCGGTTCAATACCTGTATTACTGATTACAATACAGTCACATTTTTTATAAGAAAGAGTCAATGGGATTATTTATATAAATAAATACATACTTACAATTCTCTACTTCATGCATTCATTCTCAAGGCTGAGATAAAGAGATCTCTAAAACCCCCTCTTAGAAACCTCAAGAATCCTCTCACCAATTTTTGGTTGTCACTTTTTTCTCCTTTTCCACAACTTACAGCAACCACCCCACTAGATAAATAATCAAATTCAACCCCCTAAAAGATAAGCAGGGTCACAATAGATGGACATACTCCCTGCAGGAGAAGAGCATGTTAACATTTACAATATCCAGCACAGGAGCAAGGACAGAACCTGAATTTCTGATGCCTCAGCTGTGAGGTGCATTAATGTTAGAGTGTCAGGCTTGTCTGCTCTTCTCTTCACTTCAGGCCATTTTTCAGAACATGTATTGCTATTTAAAATAAAACATCTGTACATTTATTTTCCCAATATTAATTCATATTTATGTTTTTAGAATACAAGCTTTTCTGAAATAAAGTTGAGTTATCAGAAAGAACATTAAATATAGATTTTTAAAAGTGTTACCTGGATCCACTCCTGTTGTTTAACATCTCCTTTGTTAGTTTTGGCTTCATAACCCTTGCCACCATATTTCTGATCTTCACTTATACATTTCACATGGCTCTTATAATCATCACCCCTTAAATATTAATAAGCCACACTTAAAATCTGTAAACCATGTTCCATTTCAATTAACAAAACTATTAACAGGTCACAGTCAGTCTCTCAAACAAGGCAACCTTCATAAGCAGGGAAACTTGAGTTATAATTGTACAATACAAATGTATCTTCCAATCCTATGAACTCTTACAAATGTGTAAACTTCTGCTTGTGTTAGTGGCCCCATTGAAGTCAGTGGAACTATTCACATGAGTAAAGTAAAGTACATGCATATTTGAGGACTGCTTGAATTCCTGCCAGTCTAGGGCCTGATAAATATCACTTGACTTCAATGGATGTTAAGATTTGCAAAGAATGCAGAATTAGGTCTTTAATAAATATAAAGTAAAGTAGTATACATCTATAATTACATATATACATTGTTATACGTAACATTTACCTATGCTCATATTGTGGAAAAGCTCTTCGGCACAGTTTAAAAGCCATTTATAGAGCACCACTCATTGCTCAAATCTAAAGTAGCTATATGGCTCCCATTTACCATAGTATCTGAGTGCCTCACAATGTTTAATGTATTAATCCTCACAACACTCTTGTGAGGCTGTGACGTACTATTTATCCTTGTTTTACAGACTGGGAACAGAGACAGGCTAAGTGACTTGGCCAAGTTTACATAGGAATTCTGCAAAAAGAACAGGAGTACTTGTGGCACCTTAGTGACTAACAAATTTATTAGAGCATAAACTTTTCGTAGCCCACGAAAGCTTATGCTCTAATAAATTTGTTAGTCGCTAAGGTGCCACAAGTACTCCTGTTCTTTTTGCGGATACAGACTAACACGGCTGCTACTCTGAAACCTGTCATAGGAAGTCTGGAGGAGCAAGGGAGACCTGGCTTCAGTTCAAGTCCTAGGTTAATGCCCTAACCACTGGACCATTCTTCCCCTTCAGCAAAGTTGAATGGGGCCTGAATTTTGTAGCAGATACTAGTGCTAAAATGGAAAAACCAGATACGCTTCTAAAAGAAACTTGTTCCTGGATTTAGAGATTGTTTACCAAGTTCTCTCTAGGGACATGTTTCGGATCAAGTTATTTATAACTGAAAAATAGAACTGATAATGGAAAAGCAAATTCCACCACTAAGAGAGCCTACTGGTCTGTACCTACAATATTTTATTGCCTGTTAATTTAGATACAACTAATTTCTACTTTTACATTTGGGAAGGTAGACTGTAGAGTGGGGCTTTTTTGAAGAATTTGGGTAGTTACAGGCAGAGCTGCTACAATTTTGGCAAAAAGTATTCCACAGTCACACTGATTCTGCAGCAATCAGCAACATTTTTGCCATAATCAAAAGCTCAAAGTACTATAATTCATAGCTGCAAAGAGTAACAATGGTAACTTTGATGTTTACACCATTTAACAGGGATTGAAAAGTTTTAGCAGGCACCTACATGCCGTAACACTTAAGTTACTAACAAAAGGAAAGCAAATAAACAATACCAAAGATGAGGGAGCAATAGTATGATAAGTAACCCACTTCAACCTGCAGAGAAGTGCAGCCTTCATTTTTAGGCCCTCTTACCTCACAATTAGAACCTGTTGCTGCTTATATGTTTTTAGCATAATTTCTTGTCGGTTTCATGGATGCACCTAAGGCTCTGAAGAGCAACTGTGAAATTAATCTTCTCACTCTGCTACTACTTTGGAGAAGCTATGCAGTAGAACCACTGGAATGGCCTACCACAGTGGTTTTCAAACTTTTTTTCTGGCGACCCAGTTGAAGAAAATTGCTGATGCCCGCAACCCAACGGAGCTGGGGATGAGGGGTTTGGCGTGTGGGAGGGGCTCAGGGCTGGGGTAGAGGATTGGGGTGCAGGCTGGGGCCAGGGATGAGGGGTTTGGTGTGCAGGAGGGGGGTCAGGGCTCTGGGGTGGGGCCAGGGATGAGGGGTTTGGAGTGCAGGACAGGGATCTGGGTTGCGGCAAGGGGGGCTCAGGCTTACCTTGGGCAGCTACTGGTCAGCGGCGCAGCAGGGTGCTAAGGCAGGCTTCCTGCCTGTCCTGGCACCGCAGACTGTACTGCGCCCCGGAAGCGGCCAGCAGCAGGTCCAGCTCCTAGGTGGAGGCGTGCAAGCGGCACCGCACGGCTCTCGTCCGCAGGCACCGCCCTCTCCCAGTGCAGCGCCTGTGCTCGGGGCAGAGGCAGTGCTTGGAGCCCCTCCGCCTAGGAGCTGGACCTGCTGCTGGCCGCTTCCGGGCGCAGCATGGTGTCAGAAGAGGTATGGACTAGTCTGCCTTAGCTGGGCAGCACCACCAATGGGACTTTTAACGGCCCGGTCGGTGGTGCTGACCAGAGCTGCCATAACCCAGTGCTTTACATTCCGTGACCCAGTACTGGGTCGCAACCTGCCGTTTGAAAATCACTGGTCTACCAACTGCCAACTCAGGACAGCACATTGGTTCACACTTGAAAGGGTATTTGCGCAACCTTACAGCTAGAGTTGTTGGTTTGGTTTTTTTGGTTTTAAATGAAAAACTGAATATCTCACAAAATAATGTAACTCCAACATATCATAGGAAGCTTTTCTATGGTCACTAAGTGTGCAAGTTTATCTGTCAAGCTCTACTACACAAACATCATTGACGTACCAGAAATCTTTTCCACAATCCATGCAAGAAAGGCACTGGCAGTTTCTGCAAATGTTTACATGTTTTTCAACTTGCCCTTTCTTCACAGATTCTCCACATGCACTGCAGGTAAAAACTACCATTTTGGTGAAGTGACTGAAATAGTTTCTTCTCAAAAGGTGCTTACAACTGCTTCTTTTTCAAATCGAAATCTACAAAAAAATTATGCAATTCATGTTATAATTATTAAGTGCACGTGGATCAATCTAACAAACAGACTTAAATGTGAACAAGATTCACAAGTTAATTGCGCTTCTATGTAACATTCATTTTTAATTGCAAACTTATCTCTCTGTATATACAACTCAAACAATTATTCTGATGTTTTTAAATAGAAAACTGCACGTCACAAACGTGGATTACCTTTGATTCCTGCCTTTCCTTCTCTCCTCACATTAAAATGCTTGCCAAATCTTGCTGTTCTCTCTTTGTAACATTTCTGAAATATGCCCTTCCTTTTTGTCTCTGCTGCCAAAATCCTGGTTCAGACACCATGGTATTATCTCACACCTGGATTAATTTAACCTCCTCCAATCTGAACAGCAGAGAGTCACGGACTCTATTCTATTTAACTTTGTACTGATAAAAACAATCTTCTCCTAGCACTTTTGACTTCCTGATGTTATCAGCGATTCCTGGTCACATTTTGCATAAAGATCAAACTCTTTTCACTCAAAATTTAAAGCTTTATCCCTCTGCCTAAATAACCATCTCTTGCTCTCCATCTCGCTTTTCTCATTTTAGTTCTCCTTTTGTTTCTCCTCCCAGTCTTGCCTTCACGCCTTTTTTAAAACCCGCTCCCATATTTGGCTCTTACTAAGGGGTATCTCATGCCAGTCATCCTTGGTCTTCTTCAGATCCCCTTGTAGAACCCATTTCTTTCACTTAGGCCATGTCTATGCCACAGCAGCACAGCTACAGTGCTGAGGCATTGATGCTTCCTACATCAACACAAAGGGTTTGTCAATGTAGTTATTTCACCTCTCTTACAGGTGGTAGCTAGATCAAAGGAAGCAGCCTGTTGACCTAGCTGCCTCTACACTGGGGGTTAGGTTGACTTACTGCAGCGTTCAGGCACAAATTTTTTCACACCTTGAGAGCAGGTCTACACTACAGCCTGAATTGATACAAGTTACATCATTCAGCAGTGTGAAGAGCTCCAATCCACCCCTCCAGCGGTGCAACTTTCACACTGTCCACACCGGTGCTACTTTGGCAGGAGACACTTTCCCATCTATGTACCTTCCGCTTCTTGCGGAGATGGAGGCGTAATTATGCTGAGGGAAGAACTCTCCCGCATCGGTATAGCGCGTCTTCACCAGACGCGCTGCTGCGCCTACGTAGCGCTGTAGTGTAGACTTGCCCCGAGGTAGTTAGCCCAACCTGTTTCAAGCCTAGGCCAGGCCTTACTCTTGAACATTACCGCCCGCCCATCTCCTCCTCGCCGCATGCTATCTGCGCTCAACTCGCAGCTCCAGCAGCGCTCCCACGGCTGGCTAGCGTCTATCAGTCACTGTAACTCTCCTCCCTGCTGGCCGGGTTAGCCCCTGTGTTTCCCTCGTTCAGACTTGGGGGCTCTCTGGGGCAGGACGGGTTTGTGGGGGCCCTGCATAAACCGCCCGTCCAGTATCCATCGCATAGCGCAGGCAGGGGAAGAGGGCATGGGTCACGGCAGACGTAGCCCGGCGGCGGGAACGCGGGGCAGATCCCCCGGCGGAGCGCGCCGCGAGCTGACAACAGGCGCGTCTCCCAGTCCCTGCCATTATACCCCGCTCTCCCCTGGGCTCTCCCGCGGCGCCACCGACCCCTCCACACCCACACAGGCGGGGCTCGGCCTGCCCCACCCGGCTTCCATGCGGGAGAGGCCCCGGCCTGACGCGGTGCTCGCAGCTACTTCCCATGCCCGGGAAGCGCCCCTCAGACCGCGGCCTAGGAGCCTGCGGCGCTCCGAACCGCGCAGGCCTGAAAAAATCCCCCTCCACTCACTTTAAATGCTGCGCCACAGCCTCCAACGGCCAATCCCGCACCCGGCACGTGCTGCCGCTGCCACCTCGCCTCCCTCCACCCGGCCGCCGCGGAGCAAGCGGTACGGCTCGGCCCCAACTGCGCCTGCGCTCCGGATGGTGTCACCATGTTCCCCTTCCCCTGCTGCACATGCGCCTCGGTGTCCTCACTACCGTCTTCCCCCCCGGCTCGCGTGCCACCGCGAGTCCTCTCCTCTGTCCCTCTGCAGGGAAGCGGAAGTGCTTCCACCGGAAGTGCCGGGACGGGACGGGTAGTGGCTCGTTCGGGATCAAGCCGGCATGGGGTGGCCGCGGTGATGGAGGAGAGAAGGCGCCGGAGCCGGTAGGAAGGTTGGGAGGGAGGAGGCCTTAGAGCGGCCCCCTAGGGAAAGGAGCAGATTCCCTTCTCCAGTGCTGGGAGCCCTGCTCCGGTACCGGGGCCAGGCCCCGCCGGCCTCACTCTTCAGGGTCAGTGATTCGGTAGTTAGCACCTGGAGTCTGCCTTTGCCCGTACCCGTCAACGCTGGAGCAGCGTCCCCCCTGCGCCTGTGTTATACCTATAGCTGGGGGCAATATTGGGGTCAGTATAACCCGTCCCGCACCCTCCAATATTGCGCCAGCCCCCGACGTTATATCTGTAAATGGGGCTGACTTGGGGAGGGGGAGGTATTATGACCCCTATGTATTCCTTTTCTCACTCCCCAATATTAAACCAGCCCCACATATCTGTAACTAGGGCTGACCTGGGGATTAGTATAACCCCTGTATGTTCCCTCCTCCGTCCCTAACATTACACCAGTTCCTCACGTTATATCCGTAACTAGGGCTGACTTGGGGGTATATAGCATAACTAACGCTTCAAATTTTCTGTATCGTTTATTTTTTTTCTAAATATTCTCTAATAAAATTTAAATTGTTCTCAGTCTATGTTGGTGGGCAAACTTCCTCCACGTTATACGTGTGGTGAGGGCTAATGTGGAGCTTAGTATAACCCAGGGGTCGGCAACCTTGCAGAAGTGGTGTGCCGAGTTTTCATTTATTCACTCTAATTTAGGGTTTCGCGTGCCAGTAATACGTTTTAACGTTTTTAGAAGGTCTCTTTCTCTAAGTCTATAATATATAACTAAACTATTATTGTATGTAAAGTAAATAACATTTTAAAAATGTTTAAGAAGCTTCATTTAAAATTAAATTAAAATGCAGAGCCCCCCCGGACTGGTGGCCAGGACCCGGGCAGTGTGAGTGCCACTGAAAATCAGCTCGCGTGCCACCTTCGGCACGTGTGCCATAGATTGTCTACCCCTGGTATAACCCCTGCGTGCCCCCCCTCTTCCACCCTTCAACATTAGACCACACCCACCATACTCATGTTAGCCCAGTAAGTAGGGTTAACGTGGGGGTTAGCACAACCAGCGCTGCATATCTCTCTACCCCACTCACTAACATTAGACAACTGACATCTTTCCCCTTATACTATACTTGTAGCTAGGGGTAATGTTGGGGTTAGCATAAACCTTGTATATCCTCCTCCCCACACTCACTAACATTAGACAAGACCCGTCCTCACTTCTACACACTCATGTTAACCCTGTAGCTAGTGCTAAAGTGGGAATTCACATAATGATAGTGACCCACTTACATTCCTTATCTGCTAACATTGGAGCAAACCCTTTCCCTGTCTGCCTTCCCCTGTGTTACACCTGAGGTTGTTTCCTTCCACGTTCAGACTTCATGGAGACTTTTAATGAATGTTTTAAAAGAAAAATAAAGAGCCTAGTGTGCTGCTGAAATTATTCCTGATAAGGCAGTGCCTTGCAGCACCTTTGAGTTCCCTTCCCCCAGGGGAGTGAGGCACTTGCGCTTACTGTCGTTGAAACACACACACACACCAAGGTCACAGATTGCTTTAATAAACTATAAAATCCTTTGGAGCAGGGAGAGGTTTTAAGAACTATTATAGGCTGAAGGGGTTTTCAGTGAACCATTTGTAAGTTTTAGTGACTTGGTGAATCTCTGATAGGAATTTTAACAAAAGGTGCAATGAAATAATACCTCTTAATATCACAGGGGTGGCCAAACTGCATCTCTTTTACAGTTAAAATGCTGCTTGCGTAGCCCCTCATGCCGTCCCCCTTTCTCTGCCTACCAGACTGGGGGAGAGGGGGAGCGCTGGGTTTCTGCCCTTTGGTGGGGCTAGGGGCTTTTGCCCAACATGGAGGGGGGTTTAGGGGCTTCAGTCCTGTGGGAGGCGCCTGCCAAGGCTGAAGGCTTTAGCCCCCTGGAGCACACCTGCTGGGGCTGGAGGCTTCAGAAGAAGTGGGACTGAAGCCCTGAGCCCTGGGAGGTGCTTCCCATGGGGCTGAAGCTCCAACCCCCCCGCCCCATCCGCAGGGCAGAAGACCCTAGTCCCACCACTCCGCTGCAGGGCTGTAGCCCTGAGCCCCGCAGGCATGCACATCTCTCAAACTTCTGAAGATTATTGTGTGTGGCTTGGAGGGTCAGTAAGTTTGGCCATCCCTGTAATAGCAGATAAGAAGCTGCATATAATTAGGATGCATTAAAAGGAGACGTGTCAAAAAGGTCCCAGGATAGTGCCCTGTAGTAGTCCTGATAATGTGATGGATAACTAATTTAATTGTAGGATGTGGCGCATATGCAAATTTCTTTTGGTGGGTGACCCAATTAATTTTCACTGCTAGATCCAGTAGTGAAGAGAAGCCCCTAAAAGATTGGATTCTTTCTCCTCTCCTACTTTTAAAGGATGTGAAAGGGGGAGATTCCCTCTCCTTTCCCGTGGGCAAAAATTAAGTTAAAGCATAGATTATATACAGTTGTTCATTTGGGAACAAATGTTAGATGTTTTCTGTTCCAGGTCACTCTTGTGAACAGCTTGAAGAGACTTTAAATATGATGTAAACTTTTCTCCCAGTACAAATTAGAGTCCTGAATTTCTCTAATACTGTTATATTTTACTTCTCTGAGAACTATAAGTGAAATGTGCTCAGTGCTCTAGCAATGAGCATGATATAAATATGTTTGGTCTTTCCAGGATTTTCTATTCTGTGTTTAGAGAATTAAGAAACTGAGCTTTTCCAATACAAAATGCCAACTTGCTGTTAAGTTTGTGGATGTTCTGTGTTCTGCTTGCTAAAGCCTAATACATATTTAAGTGAATAAGGAAAATGTATGGTTACAAAGTTCAGTTTATTTGCGGCATCTCCATTACTAGATGTTTGTGCAAAATCTCATTGTAATAGAAAATATTGACTTTAATAAAACTTTCTGTGTCTGTACTGCTAAAGCCATTAATCACCAAAGGTTTTTTCATTTATCTTTAAATGGCCCAAATATATTAGACATCTACATTAGCTCTGTTTCCCTTGCGAGGTAGGGAAAATAGTAGCAATACATTAATTTTTAATATTTTAAATTTGTTCTGCAAATACAATATTTAATTTAAAACTTAATTCCAAGAGTATTTTTATCTTATTGTATTGTAGATAATCAACTGGTATTCTAGCATGGACACTGTTGCTAGCCATAGTTGTCATCTTCTCCAGCAGCTACATGAACAGCGCATTCAAGGCCTTCTCTGTGATTGCATGTTGGTAGTAAAAGGTGTCTGCTTCAAAGCACATAAAAATGTATTAGCTGCTTTCAGTCAGTATTTCAGGTATGTGGTTGGGAAAATATTTTTATTGAATAAACAGGATACTATATAACTGATGTCTTAATCTCTGAGGAGAGAATTTTTATGCTAGTTACAAAGTAGTAATGCCTAATCACAGGCTGGAATTAAAAATTATGGGGTCCTTGGATAATTTGTCCAGAGATAATCTATATCTCACATTTGGTCTAATTAGAAAATATGGTCTGCCTAATTTATGTTGTAATTGTACATATTTAGCCGGTAAGCGTTTTGAGATCCTCTCTTCATTACATACTTACAGTGCCTAGCACAGTGGGGCCCCAGTCTCTGGTTAGAGCTGTTGCCAATACTGCAGTACAAATAAATAGTAATAGTAATGCACGCTCCTTCATAAGAACAGTCATACTGGGTCAGATCAAAAGTCCATCTAGCCCACTATCCTGTCTTCCGACAGTGGCCAATGCCAGGTGCCCCGGAGGGAATGAACAGGTAATCATCAAGTGATCCATTCCCTGTCGCTCATTCCCAGCTTCTGGCAAACAGAGGCTAGGGACACATCCCTGCCCATCCTGGCAAATAGCCACTCATGAACCTATCCTTCATGAATTTATCTAGTTCTTCTTTGAACCCTGTTATAGTTTTGGCCTTCACAATATCCTCTGGCAAAGATTTCCACAGGTTGATTGTGCGTTGTGGGAAGAAGTACTTCCTTTTGTTTGTTTTAAACCTGCTGTCTATTAATTTCATTTGGTGACCCCTAGTTCTTGTGTTAGGAGAAGGTGTAAATAACGCTTCCTTATTTACTTTCTCCACACCAATCATGATTTTATAGACCTCAATCATATCCCTCCTTAGTCATC